CCTTAGGAAAATGAACAATTGAAAATGAAAATGAATCAAGAAAGAAAAAGCTTTTCTAACTCCAAAGGCTTGACAAACAACCTCTAGTGTGCAGCCATGTGCTGTACATGATGCACTGTACATTTAGCCAGACAAACTTGACCGCCTCTGTCACCCTGGAGTTAGAAAAGCTCCTTCAACCTCCTTAAGGGACCCAGGTGGACTAGAATCATAGCTCCAGATATTGTACAAGGTGCTTCACAGTTGCTCCAAAGGATATTTCTTTCTAACAAGTAATAGCCAGAGTATGTCTTCACCTATTTAAGTGCAGAAAGTGTGGTGAATTGATTGCTGTGTAATTTAACTCTCAGCACCCTGGTTAGTTAGAGGAATGTCTGAGCAATTTGACTTCCACTCAACTCCTGTCCTGAACTGCTTTAGGTTCTGTATCAAGGATCCCTTTAGCTTGTGCAGCTTGATGATCTTCTAATGCCAGCAACAAAACATGCTCAAATGCACCTCAAAGGTACTGAAAAGATGGGTATATTTGAATTATTATAAAACACATATTTTACCTGCAAAAGTTCATTAACAACACAAGTTATTTTAATCTTATTTGGTGGCTAGTGTTCTTGCCAGAACTTACTGTAAAAAGTGTGTGACAAACACAGAGCCTAGACAATATCAGCAGAGTACATCAGGCAAACTGGCAAGCTGGAGATGTGCCACATGCAGGTGTTGGGAAAACATGCATTAGAAAGAGCTTGCTTTCGCTGAATGAATATACAAGGTAAATATTTTCCATTCCAGGATGTTACTGTGTCACCATAGGCTGTACTTTTGTTAGGCCACAGCTAGCCAGCAGAAGTGAAACCCTGGAGTCATTTCAGGTAATAATGCTGATAATTCAGCATCCCAAACTTTTTTATTCTGAGTCAAAACTCCAACTGTACTCTACTGCAGCATATGGAGCTAGAGGATAAACTATTGTTTATACAACAACATGAAAAGTTCCAGTGCTGAGAAGTGTATTACAATGAAATCAGCAGTGTGTTGTAAATCTGGTTCAGAGTGCTTGGTTGCTTTGCACAGAAGTGTGCATGCCTGGATAAGAAAGGCAGAAGGACCAGAGAATTTGACCAAAGAGGCAACAGGGAAACCAGGGGAACTCTGGAAATACACCCCGAGCAAAACCTATGAACAAACACCAGCTGAAAACAACTGTGCTGCTAACAGAGAAATGATGCCCTTTTGTTTGATTCCTGCTGGTTTTGGGAAACAGACTTGATGTACTGACAGATGAAGAAATTAAAGACATTTCTGTTTCTGTTATCAGTTAGTCATCCTAAGTGAAGCAGCACACAAAGGTGTGTGAAAGTTCAAAAAGGGATCAAATCCACATGGCAAATTGGTTTTTGCAATTTCTCTCCTTCCTAAGCTGTTACCCAAAAGACCCTGTTTATTGCAACATGCCTTTCTTCCTTTTCTTTTCCCCTTACAATAGCACCCACTGGCAGTTGCCTATTTTGTGCACAATCAGGTATTCTGCAATTAACTTCTGAACACAGGTCGTTCCATAAAAGCATCAACAAAGGGGTAGGAGGGGAAATTATGTATCCTGCTTCATTTATTTCTAAAAATAACAACATTTCATCAAGAACACGACGCTTGAATTTGCCTGGAGAGCGTTTTTAGGTAATGCAGGGAAAGGTGCCCTCTTGAGAGCAAGAAGAAAAAGCTCACTAAAGCTCTTACAAAAGGTGGTTGGGTATTTCAGAGCTATGTTGCCCTTCTCTTTGCATTCAGGGTGGTGAAAAGTATAAGCTTATTTCCTTCAATAAGAAAGAGAATATTATAGAAGGATACTGATAAAAAGTATTTTAAATCTTTTTATTTACATCATTAATAGTGGTTTGATTATTAAAATATAATGAATTTGAAATATCTGGTTATTTTACTACTATTATCCTTTTTTCTTTTGTTACTGAGGTCAGTCTGGACAATGGGATTACAATGAAGATTGTTTCCTCTTTGATTTCCTGTTATCCATCCATAGTTTTAAAGCACAGGCGTGCTGTCTTTCAACAATTTCCTTCCTCCCACTTGCATTCAGTTTAGTGTGGGTAAATGGCACAATCAAATGCAGTCTTAATCTCACAACTCTTCTGTTCTCTACTTATGTTCTCAGGTTGCTGCCTTTAAGTCCGACAGACCCCCCCCAAAATACAAGTATTTTGAAGAAGCCTTGAAATGGTACATTTCTTGTAGTAGTTTCATCATTTTTCTAATACAGTTCTTCAAATATCTTAAAATCCTTGCAAAACCTTAGTACTGGACATAAATTACTTGACAGTGTGGCTTGGAATTTTACCTGGATTTTGATAATGCTGTCTTTGCACACCCTAGTTATGTGGAAACCAAAGCAAAGGAGGAGTATGTCAATTGACAGAAAGCTGTATTACCTCTTTGCTTGAATCTGTCAAGAGCATTTGTCAAGAGCAGTGCTATCCAGTGCTTGCAACTTTCCTGGCTCAGCAATAGCTGCAAAATTTGCAAGGATATTCTGTAATCCTACGTTCAACTCAGAACTGAAGCACTGAGTAAGAGCTGGGCCAGGGACTGCCCCATGAAAGATCCTGCGGGAGATGCCCTTTCGCACTGACAGAAAACTACGGATGCATATCTTTGAGAGCAATTTATCAAACGGTTGTACCCTTCATGAAGATAACATCTAGGCCATGTTTCCATGACATTGACTTCTGAGCTAGACCTGCCCACAAATACAGGACAAGTTTAACATTTACATTTCTATTTTATAAAGGAAAAGTCAATTGAAATAGATAAACCTTAATGTGCTTAGCCAGAACCTGAAGATTCTCTGCTATATTTCTCCCACAGTCCAAATCAGGAACAAAATCCCTTTGGAAGTAGGCCAAACTGTTAAACTAAAAGGAATAATTCAGATATTATGTCATTCTAAGGTTGCAGCAAGCTATGTAGTAGACCACCCTATTAATTGTATCTTTAGGTCAATATTTTATCTTTATCCAAACCAGATTAGTGCATAAATTTAAAATGAATAAAAAACTCCAGACCAAACAATCAACCAACCAATGAAAAAAACCTAAACAAACAAACTAAAACCAACCAACCAACCCCAAAACACCCCTATGTTTTTCATCCTCACGTAAGATTATTATCAGTTATTATACATTTCAAGACCCGAATGGAATTTCACCATGCTATCTCCCCCAGAGTCCAGGAATGAAGAATTTCTACCACTCTGCTCTAACAACAGAGGAGCCTGCCCCAAAGCTTTCAAAAAACCTGCAGCAATCCTGGATATTCTTCAGCCACTGGGGCTGAAACACACCAGGCATTTCTTGTGGATGCTGTGGAGTGAAGGAGCTTTGGCTCCTTGGGCTTGCAGGTGCTGCAGTGGTTGCTCAGATGTGGCAGCTCAAGGCTTGCACTCACCTGGCTAAGAAGAGCTATTCAAAGGCTTTTTTTTTAAGTTTCTCCCCCTCTCTCTCCTTATTCATCTGCACATATATGTGGGAGATGGCCAGGACTTACAGATGTAATTTTCTCAACATGGATGGCATTCTATAAAATAATACAGTCATTTTTCACGGAGTCACTTTTTATGATCATTTCAGGCAGTATTGAATAAATAACAGAGAAATGTTTTGGTAAGTTAGTAAGAGTGCTATTTTCATGTTTCATTCAGTGATGTGTCATGGGAAAACTGCTTTAGCTTACTTTTAGTCATATATCTACTATCTATAATTTTTAATATTTCAAGTAGAAAAAAAAATTCTGTTGCTGATGGACTGGTATATATGAAAATTTTGATGATATCTTTAATACTTACCAATTGTATATGAACCACTTAACATTACTGTGGGGTTATTTTTCACACAATACCTCTAATGGCAAAAATATACCAGGCCCTTCTCCTCAAAGAATAAAAGAAAAGAAATTTTTTTTAAAAACGAAAGGAAAACAAAAGATTTTTCCTGCCATAAAACTGTTTTGAGGTTGGAAAGAATGAGTGACATCTCTCTTCTAGGTTTCTGAGGAAAGTCTTTCCAGTGCTGTAATTTTCAGTCTGGGAGAAAGAATGACTATTTTCAGTCTCATTCAGTCAAGGGATTCTGCATCTTCCCTTAGAGCTGCATACACCAAATCTAAATGTCTGCCAGGCCAGGAAGACATCAGGGTACGTAAGTGCACAATGCTAATCAAGGCCTAGATGTATTGCTGAACACATTTTAAATAGATCCAACTGATTTTGATTTAGAAAATAGTACTTCAGGTTCAGCACACACAAAAATTTTAGTCCAATTATTTTAATGATTTCTTTCTCAGAAGACTACATAATAAAGGTGCAACTCAGCCTGAGAGTCTGCCTTTGCAACGTGCTGTGGACCAGGGTCAAAGCACTCTGCAAAAATACTGGAAATCCTGGTACTAATTAAAGCCAGATTCCCTCATAATGGATCAATATCCAAGTGTGCAACAGGCTGCTGGCAAAGAATAAGAGCTTCTGTTAGTTCCCAAACAACACAGACAACAGACCTTGCTCTCCCACTCCTCAGCAGTTTCTTTGACAGATCAATGCAGAACCCACAAGCCCTGACCAAAAGTACATCAGAATCAATACAACAAGGAGATCCAATTTCACCAGCAATAATGCCAAGCTTGCAGCATTACTTTGGCTGAGAGAAGACCAATGGCTGATAATAACATTTTGTGTTTTTTAAATATGCATTTTATGGATTAAAAAAAAAAAAGGGAGGGGAAGAAGGGAGCATTATGAAATTTAAAATGCTGACACACCATCCCCATTCCATCCCACTCCAGCTTTGTGCCTTTAAAGACACTTAAGGCACTGAAACTAATGAAGGTCCTGCTGTGACTTCCTCTGGGGAGGAGCAGAAACCAGGTGAAACCAGCTCAGGGCAATCTGCTGCTGATCACTCAATATAAACAAGCCTATATTTCAGATCCTGTCTGCAGGCAGGGGCCTGATCCAGGCAAAAATCGAGCACAGAGAGGCAGGTTTTGCAGATCAGCATCACAACCACTCCATCTAGTGTATCAGCCTCACACAGCAGCATCTCCCTGAGAGCCAGAACCTCTCCCCAGCCAAGTTTTCCACAGCAGCCCCTGACAGGCAGCCGGGAGGTTAAAGGTACCTAACCAAGCTGTGCAGGTGGGAGATGATGGGAGCCTCATCAGCAAATGGGTGTGAAGGCAGAGGGGAAATTTGGGAGCACATGGTGTGAGGCATTCAGCGTGTGTGGCTGGGCTCAGGGGAAGCTCTTTGGGTGGTGGCAAGGCAAGATGCTGCAGTAATTACATTAAGGATGCTCTTAGCCCTTAAATCCTATCAAAAATAACTGGAGTAAGGAAGATGCAACAAAACAGGAAGCATAAGGGGGTTAATTCTACCTTATCACTGGGTAACATATTCTGTTTTGACCATATATTGATGAATATAAGCATACTCACAAAACCCAAAAAATCTTGGCTTTTCCAAATTTTTCCCATTTCCCTCCCCCTGCAGGAAGGTCACTGAAGCTGTTGGGCCTTGTAGGACAGGAAACAGCACGAACAACAGCAGACGAAAGCTCCATTACCTTACACTTTCATTACACAGGGAGAAAATGAAAAAGATTGCTCACATAAGTGAGGCTTTCTTCAGGCAATTACTATAATGCAAACAAATTGTTTAAAGCCACTAACCTAGTCATCTGTTGTTTTCTGACATTGTTTTCAGACTCCTCCACAGACCTGTTGGAAAATCTCAGCCTATGGACAATTCTCCTTGTATCTATAGCAGAGCGGAGCTGGATCTGCTAAGGGTCCAGCACATCACCTCTGCTGGCCACCACAGGCAGATGGACTCCTACAGTAATTGTTGCTAGATGGAGAGCATCCCTAGTTTTCCCACACTTGGTGGGCATCATAGTACAAAAAGGCCTGGAGAATAAAGATTTTCCACTGAACAAGAATCAGAGATGCTGAGACAAAAGGTAGTTTGTTGAAGTTAAAGAAGCAGAGCAGAATCAATGGATTTATCTAGATAAAGGTATCATTTGCTCTGTTTGTGGACATAATGGCAGACTAACATAAAAGAAGGTATCAAAAAATTCAGTGAAGTAATTTCTTCTGGTTTTGATGGGGATCTTTTACATTTTAAACCATTTCAATTTTCCTTTGGTATCTGAGTCAGTACTTTTTCATCTTGATTTCTCCTGGCCCTTCCTACTCCTCTTGGTACTATAATAAGGGCCCTAGCTGTGTGGTGAGAGGTAATACAGCTCACATCAGAGAAGAGCTAATACACTCCTCTCTCCTGCTCACATGCAGCAGAGGAAGTGATGCACAGATAATCATGGACAATCCCATCCTCTTTCTGTCCTTACCTGAGTAACAAGGAGCCAAAGCAGGGCTCTCCTCCCAAGAGAAGATCCTCTTCTCCGAAGGTGGGCTGCCTGCAGACTCCCACATCATCGGGTGGACCTTCATAGGGCTTTCACAGGATAAAGGTGGAAGCTGCTGTGTATTTTTACCTACTATGGAATTGCTGCAGATGCTTTGTACTTGCTCTTTGTTTAATTTCCCTTGGAAAACAATCTCATATTTATTTTGATCCTTATTGACCCTGGCCAATCACAAAACCTGTTAATGCATCTCATCCTTGTTAATGCATCTCATCTCTACTTACATCAGGATTTTCTTAACAGGCTGGAACAGAAAAAAGCCAAACTGCTCCCAAAGGGACTTTTGCCTTCTACAGGACTGTGATATTTAACTTCAGGTCACCTCATCTTTGTAAAATGGTGTAAAGAATTCTTCCTGGGATAAAAGCTGCAGCAATCTATTCCAGCCCAAGCCTTTGCTTTGACCCTTTGGAGTCAATAGCAGCACTGCCAACTACAAGTGCACCAACATCATGAATAAAGCCCCCAGGAGCATGGAGATTCCATAGAAAGCATATTATAACTTGTCTTGGAATAAAAAAGAACAGTAGTTTTTCTGCCTCTTTCTCCTAACCTCTGAATGACTGGGCATGGGAGAATTGTGTTTTCAGAAGTTTTCAACACCAAAGAAGTCCAGCAGCCACTGGAGGGAAAAGAACCCACAACTGAGAATGTGAGTGTAAGAGCCAAAACACAACAATGCTGAGCACTGGAAAGGGCATTGGAAAGTCACAGTGAAGTCACAGGGCCAGAGACACAGCAGTAGCCTTCACTGGCAGTGCGCTCCTGCATTTCAAAGGGGGCTACACAGCACCTGACAGCAAAGCTTGGGTGGGATGCAGTCACAGTGATGGCTTGGCTGGATCACTCTGGCTTAGCCTGGGTGGCATCCACTGGAGGATGCTTGGTCTGCTGGAATTGCTACATCTCCTTGCTGTTCTCAAAGCGAAGGCTTTTGCTGAGAGATCAAAACGTCTGTGTTATCTACTTACACTACCTCAAATCACAGAAATGGAAGGGAAAAATGACAGCATGGACTCAAGAAGGAAAGGAAAGGGGTGCCCAGCCACTTCTCCTTCCATGGTAATCCCAAAGTGCAGTGACTGAAGCCTGTTTCCTTGTTCAGAGCAAGGGTCCATGTGGCCAGTCTTCAGCATTTCTCTTGGAGATACTCGATAGCTACCGAGCAGCTCCTTCCTTCCCTGTGGCTGTATACCTGTATTTCCTAGCAGAAAAAGCAAGGCCCCATCAGTCTGATGTTTATATTTCAGTAGTTTAGAAAAATGCCTAATGGATGTTTATTTTAATTAATTTATTATTAATATTATTATGATGTTAATATTAATATTATTATAATATTACTAATTAAATGAACTGGACCGGACTGAAGCTGGGTAGCTATTTTTTCATATGAACACATGTTATCATACCCAAGAGCTCTTCAATTCCTATGTACAGAGCACCCTTGACATGCTCTTCTTCCTCGTGTCCTGTGAATTCCCAACAGAAGAACCTGTACTGCAGTTTTACAGAAAAAAAAAGATGCAGCCCTAATAAAAACTGTCCTGCAGTTCTGTGGCAGCATTTATTTCAGTATTTATTTCCATGCCTGCTATCACATGACTCTGCCATTTGCAGGGTCCCTTCTGCATTTTTTCCCCTCTATCCTATTATTATGATAATCAATATTTGTATAAAAACATTTTGGACCAAATATCATTTATTTCTTTCATGATATGCATGAAGTTTACTTTTCTGGGGTTTATTTCTCTATGGGGCATAATATGAGACAAGTTCATTATTCTCTTCATTAGTTAGTGCCTGAATTAAAATCTCTTTGATATAATTTATTTAAAGAAGTTGATTGTCTTAGAAAGCAAACTAAGTTTGTTTATTTAAAGTACTTCTCACTGTCAAAAACACATTGCCTAGAATTCATCTAAATATTCTAAATATTCACCCCAAATCATCTAAATATATATTTATCTTTAGCTTAGGATAAAACTGTGTATAACAAAACTCCTCATCAAAATACTAGGGGCAAATTTGGCTTTGCCCTTTCATTTAGCTTATCTAATTGTCAGTTATTTATCTGCTGCTTGGGAGAATTCCTTTCCATCTCTTTCACTTCTGTCTGCTTTTAAAGGAAGTGGAGAGGACACCCTGCCACTGGGGGTGGGTCATGGATGTGGCTCTTCCATCCACTAACAAAGCAAGATCCATCTTTATTTCCTCCACCCAGTGGGTCTGGCAGATGGATGGCTTGTATACTCAGTCCTCTGTCCCTCTGCTGTCATTCCTGACTTGACCTAAACACAGCAATAAAAACCCAAACCAGAGACCCCCACACAAAACATCCACAATGGCAAAAGACCCTGCTCATTGTTCTTCTTGCAAAAAGTTTCTTTTTGCGTACTTTTTAGTGCATTTCCAGCTCTGGCTTTAAGTGCTTCCAGCACTTAAAGGAGAGCAACTTTCACTGTTCCTCCTGGGAGGCCATTCCCCAGCCCAATAAATCTCACTCCCTAGAAATCTCTTTTACACATCCCTTCCTGTGCTTACAACGCTTTTCCAATCTCGGCCTATCATGAGTGGAACAAATTTGTTTTTCCCCACAGAGTTTATATAATAATGCAATAAAGTTGCAAAAGCCATGTGCTCCACTGAGTTACTTCCACTCACCAGAAATTTATGGGATAACAACTTCTGTGTTGCCAGCAGGACGTATTTCAAATTTCAATAAATTACAAGATTTCTACTGAAACGCAAAGCCATCTGAAACAGACAATATTATTACAAACTTCATAGAAGATGCAGGAAAAGAAGCATGGAAAATCTTTAAACTGCTGACACCAAGGTAAAGTCTGATGGGTTGTTCTCCTCCTGAATTCAGCAGACTGGTTATAGATAGCTTGCCAGCACTCACTCTGTCTGTGATGCTTTCTTTCTCTTTTCAAAAGACCAGCAACTGAGTTATTTTAGAAATTACAAAAGAAGCGCTTTGGTTGCATTTTATTTAACCCAGCTTGAATTGAAAGTGATTTCAATGCCTTAGCTGCTGTTAGGCAATTGCCTTGCTGTTTGAGGCTGTGTGCCATCTTCCCTCACCCAAGGATAGGCAAGCCTGTGGAGCTGCCTGGCACTGCCTCCACAGCAGGCACTGAGTGAAAGGCAAAAAACCCCAAAATTCCCCATGGAAATTGCAGGTGGGGAAACTTTCTTCCAGATTCTGGTGATCATCAGGACAGCTATTTGATACAGAGCCAAAAAAGGGGCAGCACATCTGAAGTCCTGAAGTCTTTTGCCCCTGTAGCTGCAAGGAAGTCATTCACTCTGCCCATTCCCTCCAGGTCTGGCAAGTGCTGCAGTGCAAGGATGTAGCTTTCAGAGCTTGTTTCAGGTAGACCACTAAATGCATGAGAGTGTACAATGCTCTCCTTTACCATGTGTGCAGTGATAAACATCTGCACCATGGCTTGCGAGCTGAAATCGCCAACGAAATGACACACATTCACCAGTTTGCCATAGAAGGATCCTATTAGAAAAATCTCAAGATGACCAGCTAAATATGAGAAAGCTCTGGAAATTACTGCATCAATTTTTGGAAGTCTTTCCCCAAAATGATTTTTGCTATTTGTAGACCAAAAGCTATTGTTTATCTCAACTTCCAAAGAAAGGCGAAACTCATAGCAGATGTGTCTCCAAATACTTAAATAGCTGGGTGGCAGACTTGTTTTTTATTTGCTATTCACTAAAGTAAACATGATGGGAATTTGCCATTCAGGTTTGAGAGCCTACTCAGAAACATAGGCAGAGGTACCTATAAACCTAAGTAACAAAGGCAGCTTTGCCATGCTTTATTCTTGGGGCTGGAGCAGTTCTTATCATATTTTGTGTGAAAAACAAAGTTCACTCTTTAAAATTTTTAAAAGTTTAATAAGGGATAAAAGGGATAAAATACAGAGCTGGGATGCTTGGCTATCTGCCGAAAGCACACCCTTAGCTTAAAATAATGTTCTTTATATACAGTTACATTACAGAGGGTTACATGCATATTCATAAGAATTTACACACATTCAAACATTCTTTTGAGTTTAGATGTTATTGTGCTTGGTTTTCACCCTTGACTTGTCTTCATGCCATGCTGCAGATTAAACTAATATATTTTATTTCTTCTTGTGGTTCCATTCTGTTGTTTTTCCACTCCCTGGTAACGAGGAGTTAGTAAATTTGGTTCTGGTTTTTGCCACTGTTATCTTGTCACTCAGATAGTCTACAAATGCAAAGAACTACCTAATAATCTTACACCATTCCCTGAGTTAGTTACATAAAAGCATTTTAACATCACATAGTCTCTATTTTAATACTATGCTGTGGCCTAAGATATATTTATCAAATTACTATTTACTATTTATATAAACTATATGGTGGATATATAAACTCACAGATAATACTATATTAAAAATCAGTTAAAAGGAAACATAAATTGTACCATATCAACATCTTTGTGATTAATAATAATGTGCAAAAGCTAATAAATAAATGCAAAAGCCAATACTGTATTGTTATTTGTAACATTTTGGATATCCACTAGTCCCTGATCAATTACCCTGGCTCTGACTGTGTAAGCAAAATAATATATTTCAGTTCCAATCCTTCTGAGCTTGCCAAAACTGCTTTAAATCAGAATAAAAATCAGAATTATGTCTTGCAGACTCTGCCTTTTTGTGCTATCCCTTGGCATGACTCATCTTTTTTCAGATAAAAAAGTCACAATTTCATTGGTGGTTTAAACCACCAACATTTACTGCAGCAGTGACAGTGGGCAACAGAGGAATTAAATTAAAAAGTGGCAAGCAGATAACTGCTAATTATCCTTTCACTCATAACATTCAAATATAGCCATCTGTGTTTGAACACAAAGAAGGCCTGCAATTAGGGCACCTTCAATTGCAAATGCACCACAACCCCTCTTTACTGTGCTTGTAGATGATGCAAAACAATACCTCAATACCAATTCTACTTAGTGGCTGTAATTTGCTTCAGTAACATGTGTATTAGTCACAGATATAACTTAAAAGATGTTATTCTACCCCCAAAATCAAGAAAAGCAAACACACATGCTCTGGAGGGAGAGCTTTGCTCAACATGCTCTTTACTGTCTGGTTCTATGATATATTTAACACCTTATGATGTGAAGAAGGCATTTGCACCTTTTGATATCCAATAATTTGTAAAGGAATCTGGCAGTGGTTATCCTTGCCTTGGAAGAATGTACACTTGATGGACAAGATCCCTTGGGATAATCACATTTCTCTGGTG